GTGGGAATACCTACCCCAGCACCTTCAAAAAAGGCACTGGCAGCATCTCCTGAGTTGTCCAGGAGATCCTCACTGTCAATCTGGAAGGAGAAACACGGACGGCGTTTACCGAGATTTACCGGCCAAAATGGGGGGAAAACGGGAAAAAAAATGGGGGGAAACGGGGAAAAAAATGGGGGGAAACGGGGAGAAAAAGGGGGAAAAATGGGGGAAAATAATGGGAGAAAATAATGGGAGAAAATGGAAAAAAATGGGAGAAAAATGAGAGAAAATAATGGGAGAAAATGGGAAAAAATGGGGAAAAAATGGGGAAAAAATGGGGAAAATGAGAGAAAATAATTGGAGAAAATGGGAAAAAATAGGACAAAAATGAGAGAAAATAACTGGAGAAAATGGGAAAAAATGGGGAAAAATGGGGAAAAAGAGAGAAAATAATTGGAGAAAATTGGAAAAAAATGGGGAAAAAATGGGGAAAATGAAAGAAAATAACTGGAGAAAATGGGAAAAAATAGGGAAAAAATGGGGAAAATGAGAGAAAATAATTGGAGAAAATGGAAAAAAATGGGGAAAATATGGGGAAAAAATGGGAATAAAAGGGAAAAAATAGGAGAAAAATGAGAGAAAAAAGGGGAAGAAAATGGGAGACAAAATGGGAGAAAAATGGGAAAATAATTGGAGAATAATGAGAGAAAAATGGGAAAAAATGGGAATAAATGGGAAAAATAGTAGAAAAATGGGAAAAAATGGGAGAATAATGGGGAAAAATGGGAGAAAATGGGAGAAAAAATGGGGAAAAGTAAGAGGAAAAATGGGAGAAAAAATGGGAGAAAAAGTGAGAGAAAAAATGGGAGAAATGTGAGAAAAAACAGGACAAAGTGCTAAAAGAAATAGGAAAAAAATGGTAGAAAAAAGGGGAGAAAATGGGAAAAAGAAGGAAAAAATTGGAGAATAACAAGAAAATAACTGGGAAATAATTGGAGAAAAATGGGGAAAAAAATGGGAGAAAATGGGGGAAAAAAACAGGAGAAAAATGGGAAAATAACAGAAAAATAAACGGGGAAAATGGTAAAACAAAACAGGAGAAAAATGAGAGAAAATGGGAGGAAAAAAGGAGAATGGAAAAAAAGAGGGGAGGAAAAAAATGGAGAATAATGGGAAAAAATGGGAGGAAAATGGGAGAAAAATGGGAGAAAAATGGGAGAAAAATGGGAGAGAAATGGGAGAAAAATGGGAGAAACATGAGAGAAAAATGGGAGAAAAATGGGAAAAAATGGGAGGAAAATGAGAGAAAAATGGGAGAAAAATGGGAGAAAAATGGGAGAAAACCACAAGAGAAATGGGAGAAAAATAAGAAAAAAATGGGAAAAAACAAGACCAAAAAATGGGAGAAAACAAGACCAAAAAATGGGAGAAAACGAGAAAAAAAATGGGAAAAAAATGACAGAAAAAAATGAGAAAAAATGGGAAAAAATGAGGAAAAAAAGGAGAAAAATTCCTAAAAAAAAAGAAGGGGGGGAGGGGCTGGAAAAATCCCAAATGGAGGGATTTTGGTGCAAAAAAGGGGGAATTTGGGGGTTTTTTTGGTCTCACCTTTTCGGATCCATGTAAAAAATCGTTCAGGGCCTGAGGATCGCTGGGAAAACAAAAAACACACAAAAAAACAGGAAAAGAGGATTAGGGGGAGGAATTTGGGGGTTTGGGGGGGAGGGGCCTGAAATTTGGGGATTCTGGGGGGAAATTTGGGGATTT